CAGGGAATAACAGGTTCAAGTTATTTGGTGGTCAATTACAGGGGCCATTAAAACTGGTTTCTCCTGCCTTCACCATGACCTATCCAGGCGATGCAGGGCCAAAGCCCCGATTCAAGTGTGGTCTGTCTTCACATGAAAAGGCCAGTTCTGCACTGAATCTAGGCCATCCCTGCCTTAATGTTAATATTTAAAAACTACTTTTTGCTCCAGGAAAATCCAGAGTGCTCTAGAGTGATGCCATGTGGTTGTCTACACATGTGTCCTGCTGTGCTGCCCACCATGCTGGTGGTGGTATAATAATAATAATAATAATTTTTATTTATAACCCGCCCCTCTGCAGGTTATATCACCACATTGAGGTGATCAATGCTGTGTGCCTCATTTTTGACCTCAGAATAAACAACTCATGCCACTGGTGGTGATGCTGAGTGGCACAGCAAAGACATGTGTGTAAACAGCCATCCAGCATTGTTCTGGGGTGCCCAGTTTATGGGGAAAATTTGGGGTAGCTTTGGGGCCAGAATACTCTGGCAGCACGCTCAGATATTCTGGCCAGTGTAGACCTGCCCAATATAGATAGACAGACAGACAGAACCATCTGATTGAATATTTACTGTGGGAATTGCTCACCCTTGACATTTGTGCAGTTCCACCACCATATATTTTGTAAAGAATCAAACTTTGAATACTTTTAGTCTGATTTTGCTAATTTTACTTCAATCTACCACTTTTCCAGATCACGTATCCAGTTTAAAAGTGACTTTCCAAGTTCTTGGTCTACAGAAAACAAATCTCAAGACACAATTTGAGCCATACTTTCTTGCAAGTAACGTCATTCAAATCAATAGGACTTGTTCCCAAGTACATGTGTTTTGCATTGTGGTGTGTCCCTCCCTTTAATATGTACCGTAATGTAAGAGTTTTTGGTACAAGCTAAAAGCACTGAATAATGATACAGCCTTGCTTGCAAAGGAGAAAAATTTCCATTGTTTGTCACTTTTCTATGGCAGCCCTTTCAATATCTGATGACTTATTGTTGTATTGCCCATTAATTCCTTCTGTCTCACTCCCTTCAGTCTTCCATTATACTCTCTGATAAAAGCTATAGCCTTTTGTTAACCTCTTTTGATCTCCTCTGAACATGATGTCCCAGAGTGGATACAAGGGGCCAAGCTGTCGCCTAGATGGTTTGAGTAGTGTGGCACAATTTCTTTACATGCCTTAGGTTAGGCCATCTGCTGATGCAGTTCAAATAAGCATTTCCCCCTTTTGCAAGAATTCATCTTGTAGACATTGTCAGAGTGAACATTGCCAGGAAAAACAACAACACTGAATTTGCTTGCAAGAGCATGCTTCAGCTTTGAGAACCAAACTGGACACAATATCTGTGGATCTGTGTATTTAAGTGCAGCACAATCATGCAAAAAGAGGAACAGCAAACGGATATGCTTGGATGACTGCAGTACTTCAATGTTTATCCAAAATAAAATTATTAAATAATAACATTAATTAGTCTCTTAGCACTAGGGAATTACAAGTCAAACCACTTACTCAGGAGTAGTTGGGGGGTGAATTGCATAGAAGGGCTACCAATCTCTGTAATTCATCTTCCCTCACCCCATTTCTAAAAATAATGAAAATAATAAAGATGGATATTACTGAAACCAGACGTTTCTTTCTGTCAACAAACTGTGGAGGGCTTCAGAATACAGAAATGCTTCAGAAAGACTCAGAATCATAGCATTATAGAATCATAAATAGAGTTGAAAGAAACCATAAGGTTCATCCACACTCCAACCTCCAAGCCAAGCAGGAACATACAATCAAAGCACTCCTCACAGATGGCTATCCAGACTCTATTTAAAACCTCCAAAATAATGAGAGTCCACCACACTCCGAGGGAGTATGTTCCACTGTCGAACAACTCTGTCAGGAAGTTCTTCCTAATGTTTAGGTGGAATCTCTTTTTCTGTAGTTTGAATCCTATTGTTCCAGGTCCTATTCTCTGGAGCAGCAGAAAACAAGCTTGTTCCATCCTCAACATGCCACCCCTTCAAATATTTAAACAAGGCTATCATATCACCTCTTAACCGTCTCTTCTCCAGGCTAAACATACTCAGTTCCTTAAGTCATTCCTCATAGGGTATGGACCCTTTACCATTTTACAGACCCTTTACCATTTTACTTGCCCATGTGAAATCCATGTGATGTAAAACCTAATTTGAGGAGAAACAAAATGCAGTTGGTGTTCAATTGGCGAGAGCCAGATTCAAGTCTCCACAGAGGGATGAGGGTTCCTGTTAATTCTTACCATGGGCCAGGGTACTTTGGGAACAGCCCAAAGTATCCTGGCCCCAGAGCTGCCCCAACTTTCCACTGTTACCTGGGGCCCTCCATTCTGATGCCAGACAGCTGTTCGCATGAGCATTACTTGCTCTGAGGTCAGAATGAGGTGCCCAACATTGGTCTCATGTCTGGGCACTTTGTTCTGATCTCAGTGCAGCAGAAGCAGCTATGCTGGGAAGCACAGCAAGATGTGATTTAAACAGCCACCTTGTGCTGGAATGGAGGGCT